TAAGGGCCTAGATGGGACATACTTGTTGTGACGGAACGCTGGCACTCCGACTGACCGACACCATCAGCACTGCAGACCCCACTTCCAGCGATGCAACTGCGCCGGGGTCTCTGCTATTTCCACCCACCCTGGACCCAAGGCCAGGATCCAGCTTCCAGTGGGTGAACCTCTCTTTCCCCAGAGAGCAGGAACAGGAACAAATCAAGCTATTGCAAGAGCTTCCTCTGGGGAGTAAGTGATTATAGCAATCCCCAGAGTGTAGGTATCCCTTCCCCCAAACATGAGCCAAGGCTTAATGCTGGAACAAGACAGATTTACTGGCACACAGAACTCACAATTTATGCAACACAAAACTCCTCCTCTGGGCCAGGCTAGATAATTGAGTTTCTACAATACACAAAGCTCAATTATCTGCTGGCCAGAAATAATACAGTTTCATAAAACACACAGGGACCCCAAAACATGCAATAAACCCATAAAAAGTATATCCTTGGAACCGGGGGATCTGGGTGAACCACATATCCAAAATTCACCCAGATCCGTTCAGTACTTTGGAAAATACAGTTTAATGCAGAACATATACAGGCTAAATGAAAAACAATTACTGTATAATGTGTCCCCTGCTGTATAGTCCAAAACCACTGCACGATGTCTCTGTGCACCAAATACTGGCGAGATGGCACCGTGTTGAAAAGTCCAAACAGTGTCTGTGAGTTAAAATGGCCGCCATCCATTGTTCTCACCATGTGCTTCTGATACAGGAAATGGTGGCCACCCAGTAACTCCACAGTATGTCCCAGATGGTTCTTAAAGGGCCAGCAGCAGCACAACACAAATCCATTATGCCCAAATCATGTCTTTAAAGGGCAATACATCCCAGGGGCCATAGTCACAGGGCAAGAGGCGGGCAAGCAGTCCTCTCCAGGCACAAGTGGCGAAGGGCACTTCGTCACGCTTGTGTATAACGGAGGATAGATAGGTGGGAGCAGCATTATGTAGAGATTTGAAAGCAAGAACCAGAATTTTAAATTGAGCTCTATATTTTATAGGAAGCCAATGTAAGGACTGACAGAAGGGTGAGGCATGAAAGTTGCGGGAGGACAGGAAGATGAGCCTCGCCGCCGCATTCATTATGGACTGTAACGGCACTAGTTGGGAGCACGTAAGACCACTGAGAAGTGGATTACAGCAGTCAAGGTGAGAAAGGACAGTGGAATAAACCAACTCCTTAGTCGCATCTGGCGTTAAGTAGGGGCGGATACGCGCAATGTTTTTGAGATGGAAATGACAGGATTTGGTGATAGATTGAACATGAATTGAACATATGGGCTAGTCCCAAGTAAAATAAAGTTTTAGACAGTTCTTCTTCACCCTCAATCTGAGTCCTGTCTCTTTTTGGGGGAATCTGCTACAAGGGATTGCTATGCTCATCATACTCTCTTGCTATAATCACTGAGCTCTTGTAAGAGCTGTCCGGTTCCTGCGACACTCTCTGGGGAAAGAGAGGTTCACCCACTGGAAGATGGATCCTGGCTTTAGGTCCAGGGTGGGTGGAGACGGCGAGACCCCGGCGCACTGCATCACTGGAAGTCCTCGGCGAGCACTAGGAACATCGATTGGCGGAGGTACTCGGTCGGAGTGCCAGCGGTCCGTCACATATATATATATATATATATATATATATATATGTAACAAAATACACTTAGAATGACATTCTATATATATCTATCTATATATCAAATACAAATAACCGCAAATATATATATATATATACATACATATATATATATATATATATATATATATATATATATATATATATATATATATATATAAATATATATAATTACATAAATGATTACATAAGTGTACACATAGAATTTAATTACATATACATGTATATATGATAAAATTTTAGGTGTATATTTAAGTGATCTTTTAACATAATTATGTGATTTAATTAATTAAAATTTGATTGACGTGCCTGACAACCCAGGCAGAAAGTGCAGAGAATTTAATTTGCAAGCACTATATTTAACCCTGTAACTTTCCAAGACACCATAAAACCTGTACATGGGGGGGTACTGTTTTACTCGGGAGACTTTGCTAAACACAAATATTAGTGATTCAAAATGATAAATTGTATTACAATGATGTTATTTTCAGTAAAAGTGAAGCGTTTTGCATTTTTAACACACAAATGTCACTTTTACTGACAATATTATTGTTGTAATATGTTTTACTGTTTTGAAACACTTATAGTTGTGTTCAGTGAAGTCTCCCAAGTATAACAGTACCCCCCTTGTACAGGTTTTATGGTGTTTTGGAAAGTTAGAGAGTCAAATATAAGGCTTGCATTTCATTTTTTTCACATTGAAATTTGCTAGTTTGGTAATGTTGCCATTGAGACCGTATGGTAGCCCAGGAATGAGAATTACCCCCATGATGGCATACCATTTGCAAACATAGACAACCCAAGGTATTGCAAATGGGGTATGTTCAGTCATTTTGATTAGCCAATTAGTCACAAACACTGGCCAAATATTTGTTTTTTTCACACAAAAACAAATATGAATGAAAACTTTGGCCAGTGTTTGTGACTAAGTGGCTAACAGCGCAGCTAAACTGAGTGCTATCACATAATCATGCATTCTCACATTTCTTTGTTTTTTTGTTTGTTTGTTTTTTACCATGGACAGACATCTGAGTCACCAGTCCATTGTCTCTTTAGTGTATTTTGTTAAATGTCTATTTGAGATTGCCGAGCTATGGGATTCAGATGACCCACCAATCAGCTAAAATTCTGACAAATTGCAGTTTTCTCAAAATTGAATGGACAAGTGTAACATTTATATAGTGGAAAAAAACAAGAGTGGATTCACTGTGTAGCAAGGTAGCAAACAAAAAAATATTTTTTTTTTTTTTTAAAGCGGTCTCCAAAAGGTAAGATGGAACATAGTATCCATGATATAACAATAAGGACAACAGACTGTAAAATATATCTCACAGGGTAAGGCCAACACATTTAGTAAGTCATTCAAGAGTACTGTTTGTTTTTTTGTGTTTTTTACAACAGCAACAATAACGATGTGGAATTATCTGCAAAGAGAGGTAAATTTATCAAACCATATATAAATCTTTAATACGAAACATATACTTTTTTATCACTACAGTAGCCAGGACCAGACTGAGAACACAAAGCAGCCCTGGGAAAAAATAGTCCAGCTCAATAACTCATTGTGTCAGATAGTGTGTGTGTGTGTATATATATTGCACACTATTATACCCTCGACAAAGGCGGACATTACCGCCGAAACGCGCGTTGGGTCTTTTCTTTTCTTTTTTTGTGCGTGTAGGGGGGGGAGAGGATATGGACATTCACAGTTTTTTGCACTCTCTTTACACTTTGTGATTTATAGCCCAGGGTCTCTTTGACCTATTGAACTCTCTTTATTTGCTTCCCTACTTTATTATCCTCTCTTCACTGATATCTCACTATCCTTTCGATTTACCAACTTTTATATTACAAACATTATGGCTAGGATATACCTATTTAGACTTGCAGTACAACAGTAGGACCATATACATATTTTTAGATCTATAGCTATCTAATAGTGAAGAGTGAATTTATTGGCTTAATTAGACTAGCTTGAGGGATCTGGAATGCACCTTTAATTTGCCTTTATTATGTTACTATGTGTAATTTCATGGATACTGTTGTTAATCTGTTGTTACTTGAAGTAGTTCCTTTTTTACTACTTCTTTATTGAAATTTTGATAAGTAGTATCAAGTTACACGATTCGGATACATATATTCTAAGTTTCTCTCTTTTGTGTTCCCTCACCTTTAGCCAATATTAGTTCGGTGTATTATGTATCCACACATGAGATTTTAATGATCTTTAAATAAAACTTTATTATTTTTTTGTAATACACGATAGTGGGCAAATATATTGCTCCAGAAGGGGTACTAGGATTGAGGGGATTTGTCTCCTATGTCTTAGGGATATTGTCTCCTCCTCTTTTTGTATATTGGTTAATATAAGGGTTAGGCCCTTTTTAGTACCCCAGTAACCCATTCTCTGTGTATCCTTTTGGCTGGAATTTTTTCACCTAAAGGTGCACATTTTTTCTTGTGTATAGATATAAATATATACAAAAATGTTGGTATTATGGGCATTTAGATACAAAATGGTTAATTTTGTTAAAAACAGTTAATGTAAGCTAGAATTTAACTATGTTTCTGTAATTTTCCTATTTATGCAAGGAGAATGTTCTTAGTTAGTCATACAGAGCTGACTAACCTTGTATTCACTAAACTAACTGCAAATCTTGGGGACAGTTTCTTCGTATGAGACGCAATTGTACAGAATTGGAGTCTTTTGATCTCCAAGCGGAATTTCTTAAAGGTCAGTTTGTAGACCGGGGCTATTGCGCTGACATTCTGGATCTGGAGATCCAGAAAGTCAGAACAGTAGAAAGAGACACATTATTAAGCTATAAACAGAAGAATCCAGTCGAGAAAAAAGAAGAAAAAATACCTTTTATTTTCAATTACAATCAGGAACATAGAGCCCTCAAAAAGATCCTCAAAAAGAATTGGTACATCCTCCAACAGAATGGAGAAATCTTACCTTATCTGGATGATAAACCTAAATTAATATTTAGGGGGGCTAACAATCTAAAACTAAAATTAACATCTAGCTATTTAGAAATGCCCAAACAGAAAGACAACTTTTTAGGGAATTATAGATCATTAAAGAAAGGCTTTCATTACTGTGGAGAGTGTATGGGATGTAGAATTTTTAAAAATAAACCTAAACAGATAGAAGAGTTTAAATCGCTGATAGGGTCCATCAATTATAAAATTAACTCTTTTATGACATGTCACACAAAAAATGTGGTGTACTTGCTCACGTGCCCTTGTGGGCTGCAGTATGTAGGGAGAACATCTAGGGGCCTCAAAACAAGGATACGTGAGCATATTTATAACATAAGGAGAGGTTTCTTAAAACATAATGTTTCTTCTCATTTTTTAAATGTCCATGGCGGAGACCCTACGGGGCTTACTTTCCATGCGATTCAACAAATTAATTGTCATTGGAGAGGTGGCCATGTCGAGTCCGCGTTGAGCCGCTGCGAGATGAGATGGATCTTTAATCTGGACACCTTATCTCCGGGCGGGCTCAACGTGGATTTCGAGATGGCAGCCTTAATATAAATTATAAAAAACAAAAAATTCTATTGTTTACTTTTATAATAAAAATTATTGTCACTTTTATATTGAGGATTATAAAATTAATTATTTTTTAATATATTTTTAATATATTGTCATTTGATGATATATATTGCTATATTTAACTTCTCCTTATTGTGTGAAACTAATTTTGTTGTGGCTATATTAACCTATTGTCTGTTTATATAAACAACATTTACTTTCTTTTTTTTTTTTTTATATATATGTTAGTTTCCCTTCAAATAAATCATATCGTATGAACTCTATGCCAGTTTCCAAAATGGCAATTCTGTTCAAATGGACTTCCTGTTTGTAATTATTGGGACTAAAGAACTAAAGAAGCAGTTTCTGATCATGTGATATGTTTGAAAAACCTCCGATCACATGATGTGTTTGAACCTGGAAACAGGAAGTTATCGTATCGCCATCTTGGTATCCCGGCACAGAGAAAAACGGACCGATCGAAGTGTTTTACAGGAGAGAAGGATGGAAAGAACATGCATCATCTATACAGAGGCTAAAGTTAATATTTTTATCTAAGTATATATTTGTTATTAGTGGATGTGATTTTGTATGTATTTATGTTGATTGTATGGAAAGAAGGTTTTTGACCTTCCCAATATGGCGGCATCCAAACGGAAAGACCATATATGGATTTCAATTAACATGTGTTTTTGTTGTGTAATTACCTACATATATAAACCAGAATATAGTGCACTTATTATATTATGCACCTGTTATGGTTGAAACGCGTTGTGCCTTATTTTACTGTTGTTTTGAAAGTAAAAAACTTTTTAAAATCCATCTGGTTTTGTATCCATGGTGTGGGAGAAAATACCTGATTACCAAACATCATTGGAGATAGCCAGAATAAGCTGATTATTCACAAGCTTTTACAGCAAGAGCCTGCTTTCCAAGGCTCTGCAGATCGTGAGTGACCCATTACCTCCGATTAATTCTGCTAATGTGTTACAGTATTATGCTATGTATATTTTTTTTATTTTTAGGTTGATTCAGAGAGCCACCTGATATAAGTATAATACTGGTTTATTTTATTCATTGCACCTCCCTATTTCTTTTCTGTGTTTTTATTCACATACTTGTGCTAATGATGTATGTAAAGATTTGCAGTTAGTTTAGTGAATACAAGGTTAGTCAGCTCTGAGAATCTTGCAAAAGTGATGGTAGGAGCCGCACTCAATCCCAACAGCCACCCAGTGCTTTGGAGCAGGACCAGCAATCCCACAATGATAAGGAAGCACAAGAAATTCTCTAGGCACTCAAGGTGTTGTAGCCGCAGGCAGTTTTAATGGAACAAAAAAGAACAGCAATGTTTTGACCTGCTAAGAGGTCTTTTTCAAGTTTGATATATACAGTTTGTGGACAAGCTATCCTGATCCTGTCATCTTATTGTGGGAAGCTTCCCTCACCAGTGGAGCATTTAAAACCCAGAGCCAGGGGTGATAGGGCTCTTTTACATGTGAGTTCTCACCCACACCCCCTATTACATTTTATGTATTGTTTCAGATAGTCTGAACTATATTTGTTTATGTATTTATTTCAGAATCTTTACCAGTTCAAAGCACGCAAAAGCACTTGATAACATTATATTTCCTGTGGACCACTTTTGTGTCACTTTGAAACAGCAAAAGAACAGCAACGTTTCGACCTGCTAAAAGCTCTGAGAATCTTGTCTATGTGCCTGAGAGTTTGAATATTCTCAGGCAAAATGTTTTTTATCTGATGAAGCATATCTTGTTTTCTTATTAGCTCAGGATTTTTAATGCCTACATACAAATGAAAGATAACTTTAAATGTTACTTTCATATGTAGGCAATGGAGACTCAATTACATGCAAAAAACCTGCTGTCACCTGTGCCATTAGAGCTGCCCAATCATGGGCTACCTGGGTTTCAGCTAACTCATCTAGTGACAAGGAATTTACAAAAAGATCAGAACAACAATCAATACTTCCATCTTGTAAATCCAGGGGAAGTAATGGAGATGGATTTAACACCATACACATTTT